TGTAGTTCGGAGTCTTAACTGACTTCAGTGGGCAAATTCTGGAGAAGTGTGCTCTTCAAGGATGAATCCCGGTTTCAACTATACCGGGCAGATGGCAGACAGCGTGTATGGAGTCGTGTGTGCAAGCGGTTTGCTGATGTCAACGTTGTGAACAGAGTGCCCCATGGTGGCGGTGGGGTAATTGTATGGGCAGGCAAAGCTACGGACAACAATCACAATTGCATTTTATCGATGGCAATTTGAATGCACAGAGATACCGTAAAGAGATCCTGAGGCCCATGGTCATGCCATTCATCCGCCACAATCACCTCATGTTTCAGCATGATAATGCACGACCCCATGTCGCAAGGATCTGTACACAATTACTGGAAGCTGAAAATGTCCCCGTTTTTCCATGGCCAAAAGTGTATTCCCAGTCGAGTGAAATCCATAGATTAGTGTCTAATGAATTTATTTCAATTGACTGATTTCCTTATATGAACTGTAACTCAGTAAAATCTTAGAAATTGTTGCATGTTGCGTTTTATATTTTTGTTCAGTGGAACCTTTTTTTCTAGAGTGTAGCGCTAATTTAAGAAAGTTTATTTGGTCAGGTTATGATAGTTGTGTGTAACTAAATTTGACCACTTTGCTGTAGCTATACCCTATATGGTATTTTAATACCAGGGATTATTGGCCTTAATTTGATTGATTTCATGTGTTGTTAGTGTGGTTATGTTTCCCTAAAATGACCACGTAGCAATGCATAGGCTTTTGTTGATCACGCTTATTTAATAAATATGAGAACAGACATTTACATTTGCTCTGTTTTGTGGTAGCCAAAACGTTTCTACTTCTGTCGTTAATTAATCTACCAATAGTTTCGTAATTTGTGGTGCGCATAATCTGTTGAATGATTGTCAATTGTCAATCATCCAACTAATTAGTGTTGCAAAATAGACTACTGCATATCAAATTACCAATTGTCTGTTTGGTATTTTTAAATTGTATTTTTTATTTCCTAAAGGCTGAAAATTCACTCATTCAAACTCTTAGCAGGCAATTTCAACCCTAATTACGCTATTAAAAACCTACTTCTGATAAATACATCTCGAGCTGTGTGCCTTGCACTCCCGTCTTCAACCTCGTTATTTGTGTTACTCTATAGTGAGATTAAGAAGCTACTAACTCAGCCACCTGTGATCACACATAGGCCTATCCTTGCCTCGTGGAGATGCGCATCGATTTGTTTCATGTTGTAAAATGCTCTTTAGTAAAATGCTCTTTAAACCTTTCCTTGATGCTCTTAATAATTACATTTTAACTCTTCACTAATTTGAGCACATGTGATTGGTCTCTAAACACTATTGTTTCTGTCGTATTCAGGGGTGTGCCACAAAATCTGGGTGTATAATTTAATTGAACAAGGAGCTTATTGTGCACTCATTTCTCGTGTGTAGCAGACACCGTCCTTTATTCAGATGGCAACCTAAAGTGCATTTGATATGATAAACTCCAAAGCGATTAGAACCAGCATGCATTATCCATTCACATTATCACCATAATGAAGCGAAACGCGAGACTGGACAAGATGCTTTCTTTTTGGATTATTAAAACTGTGCATATGTCCTCGCTTGGCTATGGGTTAGTGTTGGATGAATTAGTGTTTAGCATTATTGTATGCATTCGGTAAATGAATACGTATAAATTATTGGTGAAATTGTGTTGGTTGGATTGTGTTGTATATTAGGCGGGTCGTTGGAACACAATTTTAGTGTGCCATTTGGGTACATTCCCATAACCACTTATGTGATGTTGCAACCTTTGACGAAACGGCTTTTAATGCTTTCTGTTTGCTTTAGAGCCCTCCTCTATTCCGTTCATTCTTTTCAAATTCTCGCCTTCAGCTGGTTTGTGGGGCAAAATCTGAAGAAACCTAAATGTTTGTCTCCTATTATTTCTCTCTCCAATAATCAGCCGTGTGCCAAAAGTGTCCCTCTTGTTTTTACGCGTGCCAGTCACCTGCTGTCTCCCTTAGTCCTCTTCATTCTCTACCCCGTTTAAAGAAGGTTGCCTTTCTCTTACCAATTCTTTTGACTTTCAGCAGTCTGTTTCCCTAAATAGATTCAGATTGGGTACATATTGAGTTCCCATTGTCTCTCAAGGGCTGTACTAAGCTAATTAAATTTTATCCTACCAAATAAAAAAGCATCTCCCGGCCTCGCTCCTATTAAATTCGCCCATGGCTTTCCAGCCAAACTCCCCCATTTTTACCCCCTGAAAAAAATCCACTGTTCATCGAGTCAAATCAATTGAAAAACATTTGCAAATCTCCATTATTCGTGGATTTTTGTCTTTCTCTTTTCACAAAAGCCACAGAAGCAGCTTGCTGCTTTGTGCAACTGAGCCGCTCAGGGAAGCTATGAATTCTAAATAAATTACGCATTGGGGTACCTCTCTTTATCTTTCTTTGTAGCCTGCAGCTTTTTTTTATTTTCACCTTATTGTTTGCAATAAACTTTTACGCAATACTAGTAAGAAATCGTTTTAAATAAGTTTCTGCCTGAGTTTAGTTGCCGCTAAATATGGACTAATTCGCTGCTGTTTGATATGCGTGCTATCACTTATTCTATAGCATATCCAGGTTATTTTCTATTCACAATCAAATACATTTTTTATTAATAGTTTTATATAGCATAATGTTTTTTGTTTCAGTAGGTTACAACTCGCTCGTGATACTGCCGCTCGCGTAATCTGTGTCCATGGGAGTTTTACAAAAACACTTGTTGAAATTCAAGCGTACAAATTAGCAATATCAACTGGAAATGGGCTGTTGTTGCCTAAGGGAATTTGATAAATCATTATTAATTACTCCAATGGACTCTGATAACGTTTTGCATATGATTTATGTGCGTCTTAATCTCTCTCGGTGTGTGTGTGTGTGGCTGGCTATAGTTCTCCAAAACATGCCAAACTCGACACTCCATAACATGTTTAGGTTAGTTTCCTACTGTAGGCTAACTCAAATTCGCCAAGACAGTGTCATTTAAAAAATAATGTATGAAAATGATTTGCCAACATATTTTTCCCTATATCTATTAATGGATTTCATGAATTTATCTTAACTGCATATCCTTTTACTTCACATCGATGATATTTTAGACCAATAATAATTGTATGAGCTAGGCTACTGTTTACTGGATATATCAAATGTAATTCTTACTGCCTATTCATAAGGTATATTTCTATATTTCTGCAATAGCATAGACATTGTCCATCCCTCCCGGCGCATTTCTTGTTCAACTGTCTAAAATCAAATGTCTTCGAGTGCAATAAATGTTAAACTGCAATAAATATAAATGAATCTCAATGTGTGCAAATCCTATTCAAAAGCGGAGAAAAAAATCCCGAGAAAAATCGAGGAGGGGGGGGAGCCCCCTAAAAAGCAGGTGTTGAGCAGTAATCTCTTTTCGTGCCCTGTCACTCACCTTCATTTTCCCTTGTCACTTTGTCGCATGCAGCCTTCTCACTTCGAGCGCCTTTCTTCATTTTCATCACATTTTCTTCTCGTCTTGCACTCGTAAGACCCCAACCATGTCCAGATTTCCCAACCTTCCCCTTGTAGTAATCCAAATAAAAGATGAGTGCATCGATGTCAAATTGCTCTCAAAACACCATGAAAGATTGATTTGCAGCACTTTCCTTTCAGCTGACATTATTGCGAAGAGAGCAGAATAGGGAACCCGCGAGCTTGGATGGAATAAAGATGTTCTCTCTGCTGGAAAAGGGGGAAAACTACCCATTTACTGCCAGTCCATCAACCCAGAAAAACTGGAAAATAAAGAGCCCTGTCTATTAAAAGAGAGGCCGGTACACATCTAAACACTGTCACAATTCTTAAGGCTTTATATTAACATTCATAAATATTTAAGGCAGGGATGCGATAGCTGAATCGCCCATCGCATAAATTGCCACTGCATTTTTTTGCCTCTCAAATTCAGTAATGTTATTAATTGGCTGTATGGCAGGTCTGTGAAGGGAACGGTTGTGTTAAGCCTATGTCTATTGGTGTAGACTTTGTAAAGTTCTACTTCCATGAGTGTAAAAATTACTGCAATATTCCCATTTTCTCTGTGATGCATAAACCTATTGGCTATAGGCCTACATCACTTTACATAATCTCTAAATCATGTAGGCCTATAGCCTAGCCTACTCATTTAGCAATTAAACCATTTGTGACCCAATTGGAGTCGCTGTAAATTATGTGGTTTGATTTGCACTTTAATCCTACATTTAGATGATGTATAGATTATTTAACTTCTTAAATTTTCCGTTTATATTTGAAAGAAACACAGGCTAATTAGCGTAATTACATAATGTCGCATGTACGTTATGAATGGTATGTGATTGTGCGTCTGCGATGCAGGTTACATTTTCTATAGGCTATCAATTCGGCTATTAAAGGCTAATAACGACGTGCCATGCTGAGAAGGTATTTCGTGTTGTATAACCTACTATGTAATGATTCTGAACAAAGTTATGGCCCTTTACAAAAAGTAAATGTTGCATAAGTGTAATTGGTCATATTCACAGCCAATGAGGCAAAACGTTTAATATCTCAACTCTGAATTATTCCAGCTATTAGCTTGTTTTTCATGCTAAACTAAGTTTGTCTTTATTTTGCTGCCTTGTTGGGCTTTTCCCCTGCCCGGAGCATTTTGGGGCACGCTACTGCTGCTGCTGCAGCGCAAGACGCCGGAGAACTGAGCTTGTTATTCCTCGGGCAAGGTGGTTGTATTTCGCACCAGTAGACACCCCGGTTAACAGCCCCCCTCCCCTAACACACATCTCCCTCCCTCCCCTGCCCCCCTGAGGATTGGCCACTCAATAAAGAGCTTGGCTTTTTCTGGTAGAACAAGGCTCCAGAACATAAGGGAGGGTCATTAATAACTAATTAGAGGGGGTCACACCAGCAGCATATAAAGACTACCCGGACTTTGAAAAGGCGAAACATTTTTAAACTTCAGCCAGCAAAGGAGGACGTGTATTTGGCAAATAGCCTAGTCTGAAATTCTTGTGCATCTAAGTATTCGTTTATTTTTATTTGTGTGTGTGTTCCCTTTATTCTCAATATATTTAAAAAGGCAGGTGGACATCTGAACTTGCGCACAGACTAGCCTACTTAAATTTCGGCATTTGTTAGATAAACCTCACAGATTTGTGGCACCATGGGTTCCGTGTTGCCCGCTGAAGCATTGGTGCTGAAGTCTGGATTTAAACAACAGAGTTTGTCTCTATCTGAAATTATCACCTCCGACATCCTGCATAGTTTTCTCTATGGTAGATGGAGGAACGTGCTTGGGGAACACCTTTTGGAGGAGAAGATAAACGTCAGTCCCAAAACAGCTTTCACCGCAGAGGTCCTTGCGCAATCATTCTCAGGGGGTGAGTCAATTGGATGTTGATGTTTTCATTTCGAATTATGCAGGCCTTTATTATTTGTATCCTTTCAACTGTTTCCATGTCTTTATCCATGTATAGCCTGTTTATATATTAGTATTAAGTAAAACAAAGTTACGTATATTTTATACATATTATTGAGTTTCATTATTTTGAATTTAATAGGTCACTAAAGTGTGTTGATAATTTTGAACTTAATTCAAGTGTTGAAATGCCGTCTGTCTAGAAGCCGCACATAGCCTAACTGTGAACAATAAGTGATCAAATTCACATAGCCTATAGGCTTACAGAATTTTCCAGAAAACCCTTTCTAAAGTTTTGTTCTGGTCCCCATGCACTTTTTCATTTAATTTAATTTATTTCCATCCCATTAAGCGTATTAACCGTTTCACGACATGATCCCACGTAGCCTATTTAGAGGCTCGTTTAGGATCGCGTGTAACTAACTGATGGTGACTTAAATAGGGGTATTCAATTCATTTGGTTAACGTTGTGCTTGACCTAAGAAAGTTTCCACACAGACCACGGACTATAGAGGGAAAGAAAACCCCTTTCTTTTAAATGTCCCGGGTTTTATCTTGCATTCATCAATCTCAGAAAAGCCCCTCTCCCCGGCTTTGGCAGCTATTGCACACCAGGCACTTTTCTCTTTCAGTCGCCTTTATTAAAGATTGGTGTTCCTCCGTTAATATGCCGTGAAGGCTAATTCTATTGCTATTCACACCATGTCAGCCTTCTAAATCGCCTTTCCATTTTTTTTCTCAGAAATTCCAGGGCCTTTTTAAACAAGTCCTCATTTCATTGGCCCTAAATGTATTGCTACAAAGTTTTTATAGGGATCATCAATGTGAAATTATATATTTCTTTCTACTTGCATTTAGCATTTAATTAGTGTAGAGGCCCATCACATCCAAAGCATAACAAATTGCTGCATTCAGGTTGGAAAAGGAGCATTTAACCCTTTTCTGCTTAGGCTGAAATTACATTTAACTGGTTTTCACACCCCTATATGATTAGGCAACCAATGAACAATGCTTGTATAAAATTGAGTTCATAAAAAGACATGAAGACATTCTGTAATATTTGTAACAATACTAACAACATTTGTTGTCAACTGGGCAAATTGATGGCTCATGATATTCAATAACCCTTTTGTGAAAGCACTGATTTCTGCTGCGAAGTGCAATTTCATGGGAAAGCATTGAGACCAGCGATGGCAATTGCAGCCTAGACAACAGAAATGTTACATGAAATTGCTACAATATAGGTATAGGTTACCATGCTAAATGTCCCTCTCTGTTCCCCAGAGGTTCACAAGCTCTCCAGTCTGGTGTTGCCAAGTGAAGTGATAATAGCCCAGAGCTCCATCCCTGGCGAGGGCCTAGGAATCTTCTCCAAGACCTGGATCAAAGCTGGGACAGAGATGGGGCCTTTTACTGGCCGAGTCATCTCACCTGAGCACGTGGATCTCTTCAAGAACAACAACCTCATGTGGGAGGTAAGCAAAGGTGGAGTGTGCATGCATGTAGCAGAAAAGACACTGGTAGGTCATGTACAGGCTTACACCCCAATGCTAGTCATGTAACAATTGTTTGTCACATACAACCACATACACATGAAAATGATATATAGGATAGGATCAGTTTATCGCTTATATTGACACTCCATTGTTTTTGTGTGTTCCCTTAGGTGTTCAATGAGGATGGTACTGTGCGTTACTTCATTGATGCTAGTCAGGAGGATCACCGCAGCTGGATGACCTATATCAAATGTGCCCGCAACGAGCAGGAGCAGAACCTGGAGGTGGTTCAGATTGGCAGCAGTATCTTCTACAAAGCTATGGAGGTGAGATTGACCCACATAACTAGAATGAGTAGAACGGGGATCCTCATTCAAGTCAATGATCCCATTCTATGAGATTCAATTTCTATGGTTAGACCCCTAGAACAGTGTTATTTCATTACATTGTTGTTATTATCACGACTATTCACATTATTATTTCTATATGCACTACATTCTACCTCTACATGATATTCTACTAATAATAATACAAACTCTATACTAATACTAAATTCACAAGAAGTTGTCTTACAGACCCAAGTGAGCTGGGCATTTTGTGTGTTTGTGTGTTCTTAGTAAATTAGTCAGTGAGTAAATCAATCAATCAGGCAGTCATTGGTTATGATGTATTGTTGTGTCGTTTCTGCTGTTCTCTTTATTCCATAAAAGTCATGTATTTTGTATGTCAATCCTCCGCAGACCATTCCCCCCGACCAGGAGCTGCTAGTGTGGTACGGAAACTCCCATAACACATTCCTGGGGATTCCCGGAGTTCCAGGAATGGAGGATGACCAGCAGAAAAAGAGCAAAACCGGTGAGTCTTTAGTCGGAAATGACTTGGGCCAAGCGATGCAGATGGGCTTTTCACTATCGCTTTCTGAAATAGGCTGCCAAAGTTTAGATGTATTTATTTCATGTACAAAATTGAGAGTGTTTGTCGAGATGAGTCTGACTCTGTTCTCTCTCTCTCTCTCCTAGATGAGTTTCATATTTGCGACGGCTCCACCTCCTCGTCCTCTGCCCTGCCCACCACCGCTAGCCGGATGCGCTGCGTCATCTGCCACCGGGGCTTCAACTCACGCAGCAACCTGCGTTCCCACATGCGCATCCACACCCTGGACAAGCCCTTCGTGTGTCGCTTTTGCAATCGGCGCTTCAGCCAGTCGTCCACCCTGCGCAACCACGTGCGCCTGCACACTGGCGAGCGGCCATACAAGTGCCACGTGTGCCAGAGTGCCTACTCTCAGTTGGCAGGACTGCGGGCGCACCAGAAGAGCGCCAGACACCGGCCCGGTGGTGCAGGGGGAGTGGTGGTAGGCCTCCACCAGGCACACTCCCCCCCACCCCCCCAGATGACAACAGTGCCCCACCCAGCCTCTCTGGTGCACCACATCTCCACCATGGTGCTGTGAGGGAAAGCCTTGTACATTCACTGTACATTCATTCCAATAGGCACATCCCCTAGACAGTGATGATCGTACTGCAAAATGTGATGCTTTTCTACAAGTCTGCACTTCCTTGCACATATTTGATGTAAATGAACTGGCTGTGGTGGTTGTCAATGTTAGAGCTACCGGCAAATTGACTTTCTGATCACTTATATAATAGTTTGGCCCTCACAATGTCTCTGGTGCAATGCACTATGTAGGAGGAAGGTGATCTAGGTACTGGCATTCTGTTAACTTATTGTCAAATATGCAACTAGACCTGATGTTTTCACTGTGACCGTTCTTGTGAGATGAAGTTTTTTTTTATATATATATTTGGGTCCATAATATACAGTACTGTATGTAGTGTATTGATTGGTCATGCCAGGTACCGTCATACTGATAACATATAGAAATCCATTGATTTTATATATATAATTTTTTTCTTTTTTAACCTTTATTTAACTAGGCAAGTCAGTTAAGAACAAATTCTTATTTACAATGACGGCCTACACCGGCCAAACCCGGACGACACTGGGCCAATTGTGCGCCGCCCTATGGGACTCCCAATCACGGCTGGTTGTGATACAGCCTGGAATCGAACCAGGGGGTCTGTAGTGATGCCTCATGCAGTGCCTTAGACCACTGCGCCACTCGGGAGCCCATATATATATATATATATATATATATATATATCTGTATAGGTCAAGTTCTGAATGGTTTAACATTTTGAAATAATTGGAAGTTATTTTTCTCTCTTACCAGTGCATGGGGCAATATTTGTCTACTCAGTGACCACAAGTCTTGGGATATTCTTGTAAATCTTCAGAGGTACTGTATCTGGGAGGCAAATGTAGTTCACTTTGTTTGCATGCCTTTTTTGTGTGTGTGTGTGTGTGTGTGTGTGAAAACAATGCTATTTGTTTGTTTCTACCTGTATGAGGTAGCCCAGGCTGACAGTCTAATTTATTTGTACAAACAAGATCTGGGTTTGGGAGGACATTCACGCGTTCTTAACACTGATTCATTAATAGTCTATTGTAACAAGAATTGTATATTTTGCAACCATAATGGATGAAGGATCATTTGAACTGGTCACTTAACATGATTTTCCAGACTCTCCCAGTAACCGTTAGCTTTGTTGTGTCCCAGTCAGGGAATAGAATGATTCATGACATGTAAATACACTATATAAGATGTAAATATAATCCTAAAATGTACTCTATTTCCAGAATTATTGAACAGTCACTTTATCTCTACATGTACAGTATGTATAACGTAAATGACAAAACGGGGTGCAGTGTATTGCGTATACTATGTTTGCATATATAAATTACTTTGTATTTTCACCTAGTACTCCAAATAAATCATTATGTAACCTTCCTTGTCTTTTGTTAATTGTCCCATGATTATAACTGTTTATATCACACAGAGAATCTCTCCATATAGAATTGAACTGTACCATCTACTCTATGTCTAAATTCAGTTTGCCTTAGTGAGTTATTCCATTGATAAGCCAAATTGTCTTCAGTAAACGTTGTTTCCAGTAATAACCTTATCGACATGCATCACAGAGCCAACAGCATCCCTCTTGTGAAATAATGCTGTGCAAACAGCGCTTAAGCAAACTCACCTTTGTGACTAGAAATGGTTGGAAATTCTGAGCTTGGATGACCACACTTTTCCGAAATTGGGGATTGTAGCATGTAATATAATGTAGTCGATCATGAGACTGATCCCAGTGTTAACGAATCCCCCACACAAACAAACACACTCTCCTACCTGCACTCCTAAACCAAACCAAGGTCAACTTAATTTCTCACTTAGAAATGTCCTTGTTTTCGTAAGAAAACATCAAGTTGATCAGAAATACAGTGTAGACATTGTTAATGTTGTAAATGGCTATTGTAGCTAGAAACGGCTGATCTTTAATGGAATATCTACATAGGCGTACAGAGGCCCATTATCAGCAACCATCAGTCCTGTGTTCCAATGGCACATTGTGTTTGCTAATCCAAGTTTATAATTTTAAAAGGCTAATTGATCATTAGAAAACTATTTTGCAATTATGTTAGCACAGCTGAAAACTGTTGTGCTGATTAAAGATGCAATAAAACTGGCCTTGAGACTAGTTGAGTATCTGGAGCATCAGCAATTGTGGGTTCGATTACAGGGTCAAAATGTCTTCTGAAACTCGTCAGTCTATTCTTGTTCTGAGAAATGAAGGCTATTCCATGCGAGAAATGGGAGTGGAAGGCCCCGGTGCACAACTGAGCAAGAGGACAAATATATTAGAACTTTTGAACGGTAATGTTTGTATATTAGGAGACATGAGTTGATGATTAACTAAAAACAAGCAGACTGCATAACTCCTTAGTGGGCTGGATAAAAACATCTGCGTTTGGGTTTGTAGAGTCAGTCAGTCTCATCGGCAGTGGAAGATGAAACTCTTACTGTTTCTTTGTGTTTTTTATCTCTGCTGTTTGGCAGGTGCTCAGGAAAAGACGTAAGTGGCTGCATTTATGACAATCCTGGCAATTGTCAACAATGTTACGTTTTGACTTGTTTGGATTAGTAAGTATAGTAAGTAGCTTTGTCTGAGCCAGAATGGCCCATAGGGCAGGAGCCTATCTCCTGTTTCTGTAGCATGAGGCAGCTTGATGTACAAGTACATCCCCTGAACAGGACACTAGTGTATCACAGTGACTTGTTTGGATTGCATATTTTCTATAACCCTGTTTTTCTCCTAAGGTACCTGATCACTGCTCCCAAACTCCTCCGACTGGATGCATCTGAGAAAGTGGTGATTCAGCTGTTTGGCTACACCCAAGAAGCCAATGCCCATGTGTACTTGAAAAGCTCTATGGACGCAGGCCATATTAAATATGCTGATCAGTTTGTGACCCTCAACTCCCGGAATGGCTTCCAGGAGGCTGTCACATTGAGGGTCAGACAAAGCTCCAACCAGTGAAACAGGCAGTCATGTTTCCTTCTGAAGGACAGGGCCGTACTCCCAAAGTGTCTCAGAGTAGGAGTGCTGATCTAGGATCAGTTTAGCCATCTAATAAAAAAATAAGACTGGAGGGACCTGGTCCTGGATCACCACTCCTCTGAGACATTTTATGAATACAGGCCCAGGTGTCTATGTCTGTGTAAAACAGGAAATAAGTAGTAATACAAAAGACCATGGAGATTTGAAATGTTTATGTTATGTAGGTTATGAAATGTATGTGGTTAGGATTGAGCATTTTGCATGAGTTTTCTGTCTCATATCTTTCTTTGCGCATACCAGGTTTGTATGTATTTTTATTTGAGATATTTGTTCTTAGTAAGGATTTTTTAATCAATATACTAACTCTCCACAGATTTTCCCTAGTAAGTTCCCTACGGATGCCACTCATGCATACCTTGAAGTTATACTGCCAGAACAGTTTGCGCAGCACGTGAAGATACCAGTCTCTCGTAAAAATGGCTTCCTCTTCATCCAGACTGACAAACCCATTTATACCCCAGAACAATCAGGTGAGGATGATAACAGCATTGTGTGTGTGCGTGCGTACGCATGTGTGTTTGAGTGTATCAGTTGCTAGGTGTATTCCATTGTGAGAAGTGGATACACACACCCCTTCTAATGCTAAGCATGATCCAACAGTGAAAGTGCGAGTATTCTCTCTCAATGAAGATCTGCAGCCAGCCCTTCGACCTGTGACTCTAACTTTCAGGGTGAGTGTATCACAAATGGACCTTCCACTGGGCACACCACATCATTTCAACGTAGATAATTGGGGAATGTTTTGTTGAGAGACGTTGATCAATGAGATTATAACCTATATTTACCCATATAAAAAGACAGCCAAAAGTTAGTTTTCACTATTATTTCAACCATCTAAAAGCACAACCAAATTCCAATGGAAAAACAATGTTTGATGTTTGGTTTAGTTGTCACCCAAATGTCTATCACTGTGCTTTCAACCATTTTAAAAGCGCAGTAAAGTTCAAATGGGAATACAATGTCAGATATTTAGTTTATTTACACAACAGATTGTGTTATCACTGTGCTTTATCTAATAGCCGAACCAAATTACCTGGATTGCAGTTGAGATCACATTAAAAGTATATGGTGTAATTGATCAATGTCGTTCGACAATCTGCACAGATTATTACAGCAATTGTGAAGATCTCCACGGAACTGCGACAACCTATGCCTGCTATCTTGAACATGCATGCTTTAAATCAGTGGTTCTCAACTGGTTTTGCCTCGGGACCCAAATTGAACCAGGTTGTCTCAATCCCGACACAATATTCGCATCGCTAAAAAGAATACAATACAATCTGGAAAACTATTTTTAATGCTATATTGATAGTGAATGTTGCATTTATATGACCAGAGGACAACATTTCCACCTCTTTCATTGTCAATAATTACATTTTGCCCATATTCTTGATGAAGAATGTTAATAAACTCACTAGCTTGAGACCACAAAATCAACCCAAATAGTGCTGCTAATAGCTCTATATTGAAAATACTGTGATTGAAGAAAAACATTTTGGAGATTAAATTATTTCAAAATGTAAGTGCATTATCATTTATACACACTCTCTACCTGGTTTAAGTCATCTAAATTCAGACTGGAGTATTTTTCATTTAAAAATTATTTTTTTTACTCAGACACGCGTGACCCACTCAAAACCTCCTGCGACCCAAATATGGGCCGCGACCCACCAGTTCAGAATCGCTACATTATATTATTACATAAGAAGAAATGTATAGTTACAGTAATCTCAAAATGTGGCCATGGATGTGTTACTCATTATAAGGTTTGTAAGATAGCCTAAAGTTAAGGCTATTTACTGTAATACAAAAGTGATATTGAATTGTTGTCCATGCAACCAAACATCAACATTTGAAGGAGATGCATCTTCTGCTTGGATAGTGCCATCTGTGCCACTGATTTAGTCTGGCTTTAATTACAGTTTGTCTACAA